AGCAGTAATTTGTTTATGAAATTTAACAAAAAAATAGTCTAATGCCTAGTATATTAAACTTTTATGCAAAAATTGGCTCAGTCTTATTTATAATGTACCAAAAAAAAAAAAAAAAAACAACCTGTGCGTATTGGGTGGCATAGGAGTTAATTAGGTGCTCAGGTGTTTGATGAGATACATAGGCATTTGCCATAGAAAGGAATCATTAAACCAGGTTTTTCTGATGCATGTTATTGAGATATAGTATACAGAAAAATACACATATTATAAGTGTAGAATTTAAATATTCTCAGCTTTGTTTTTTTTTTAAATTACTTACAGTGTAAAACTAAAGTCCAGTTCTTATAATGAACAGTTTTATGCTTTTCTTTTAGATTCTTAATTCTCTTCACTTTGTAATCAAGATGAGATTAACTCTTAAATTTCTATATTTTCCCATATTTGATCAAAACAACTATAGAGTTACACTACTTTCAAGACAAGGGGACCATTAGCTAAGGCTTAACGTGGATGAATGTATTTTAATTTATTTTATCCTGAAAAATCTAAACTTGAATGTATTTTCCAGTATTAATTTTACTTCAATAAATTTTTTCAAGCAATGCATACTTTAATGTATGTAAAATTGTTTAAAACATTAGAGTTTGGTTGTAGAGAAAAGTAGACCTGAATTTAAATCTGAATTTGCTGCTCAGTAGTTGTGTGCATTTGAACAAGTTATCTGAGCTCTCAGCCTTAGTTCTCTTACTTGGAAAATGAGAGTAATTATAATACCTGCCTTATATGGTTCTTTGAAGATTAAAGGAAATGAGCATGTTCAGTGCTGTATCTGTGTCTGGCAAACATAATTAGTGAATAATTGGTAACTATCATTGTTTTCTCTTTCTCACTTTAATGATTAGTAAATTGTCAAATGAGCCAGGTGTGGTGATTTGTTTATCCTTTAATCCTGCTACTTGGAAGGCTGAGGCAGAAGAATCTCAAGTTTCAAGCCAGCCTGGGTAGCTTAGCAGGAACTTATCTCAAAGTAAAATTTAAAAAAGAGCTGGGGATGTAGTGCGTGTTGAGCATTTGCCTAGCTTGTTTGAGGTCCTGGATTAGTCCCTGGTCCCTATTTATTTTATTATGAAAATAAACAAATAAATTATGCTTCTTTAAAAGGAACAAAGTATCTTTTTTAAACTGTGTAGAAAGGATAGATGCTTAAATGTATAAGTACTATTTATTGAGTCATATTTCTTTAATTCAGTGTTTGCAAGAGAGGGGATGATGGGGAGGAATAAAATAATTAGGCAAAATCTTTATGTCTTAACATTTCCTTTTAATAATATTAATAGGAGCTTATTTCATTCCATTTTTAATATGGTTGCTTAGCAGGATAAGCATTGAACAGATATTCCTAAAATATGAGATTGCTGAATAAAAGTCAAAATAAGATAATAATAATTTAGATAGTTACTGGTATCTGATATTTTTATTGTTTTATCAGTTTGTTATAGTACTGCTTTTGAACATTTCTAAGCCACAGTGTAATTACTATATTATTAAAATCAAGTAACTTCTGCACTAGAATGGTGGTTGACAAGTTTAAAAAGTCACTCATCTGAACTTCATAATAAGACACTTTCACTTTAAAAAAAGTATTTAAAAACTTCCCCACCCTGCATAAACTATTTATTTTTTCATCTATTATGTTCTGTGTACTAGTCCAGTTACTTGGAGGAATAGACCAATATATTTTATGTTTCTAACAGTCTTTAGAGAATGAATAAACAGTCAATTACAAGACAGAGTCTTTGGTGATAAAAGTATGCTTATATGAGAATATTTCTTTGGCAAAGAGGCATAGGTTATGCTTGGTTTTAGAGGACTCATTTTGGTTAAGTTGTAGATTTGGTGTGATAACTAATTATGAACTCTCTATAATTAGCTTTATTCAGAAGGGTAACCAAATTGCCAAATTTTTAAAGTAACCCCATAAGCAAATGAAAGAGAAGACATTACTAGGAATTTTAAGTGAAAAATAATTTGCTTTTAAATTTTATGAACTTCTAAAGCATTCTTCATTTCAGATCAGATCTGCAAATGCAAAATTATTTAATGAATATTAGTATAATAGACTTATTTTCATTTTATAGTGAAATTGTATTTCATGATACTTTCTTTTAAATATTTAAAATTTTGGGTCATTATATTTTAATGTTATAATACCATGAATTTTTGTGAAATATCTGTCTCTTTCAAGTATGGTTTTAAAAAAATTCTATTACATCTTCTGGTTTCAAATTGAGATTTAGTATATTCTCTGAAATATTATAATATTTTACTTGAAAATTATTGACATTGATATTATGCTGTTACCTCTTCTGAATATGCTTAGAAATTCATCACATGCTGATTTATGTGATCCTTATTTTGTATTTTTCATTTTACCAACAAGTTACTTTGTGAGTAAAGTTTGTAAATTTTCTTAAATTTGGAAGATAAATAAATTTGTCTCGTGAGAAAATTACATTACTTTCTATGAAGTAATATCCGATATTTGTAAAGTTTATATTCAGAAGTTCTACTGTTTTATTTTTATGTCATTGATCTTATTTGCTTGTTTTGTATTTTCCTCTCTGGTGTCTGATTATTTATAATACACATTTTCCTATTATTTTCTCTAATCTCTTCTGTGTACTTATTTACCATTGACATTCTGAAGTAAATTTTAATGTTTCTTCTGAGTTTGATTATGTCTAAAATATTTAAGGCTTATTATTATACTTTTATTATTATTATACTTTTATTATTATTATTAGTTGTTTATGAAACCTATCCATTCAACTTTTAGATTTACAACTACAAACTGTGGTAAGTGATATGACTTTTTGGAGGAAACCTCAGTCCCTTTTCATCATCTAGGTAGAACCTAGTTTTCAAACCTATAAATGACAATATTAACTGTTGATACAAGCCCAAAATATACATCTTTTCTTCCTATCTAAATGTACTTCTTTTTTTAAACAATAGGTGAATTTTGTTAAGTTATTTTTGGTTCAGTTCCCATCATTTGGGCATGGTTGAATATACATGAATGTCATTTCACTAGCAACACTTTCCTGGGGAATAGTGTTTGCAGTTTTCTACTCATACTGTTTTTTAGACCTCTTTCACTTTAAAAAAAAAAAAAAAACGATTTCCACATTAGATAATGAAGGTGCATATCACTAAAGTATGTGTTTTTTAAAATGTTTTTTTAGTTGTCAATGGACCTTTATTTTATTTATTTATATGTGGTGCTGAGGATCAAACCCAGTGACTCACACATTAGGCAAGTGCCTTGCCACTAAGCTACATTTCCTGTCCAAGTATTGTATTTTTAATGAAGGAATATTTCTAGGATAATTTTTAAAATCATATAATAAAATACACTGACAATTTTGAGTTCTACCTGCACTATACTGTGGGGTTTTTCCCTCTAATTTTCTTGTGGGTATAACAAAGAAGAAAGATTAATCTTTTAAGATTGGCCTGGGGGCTGGGGTTGTGGCTCAGCTGTAGAGCACTCGCCTAGCACGTGTGAGCCCCTGGGTTTGATCCTCAGCACCACATTAAAAAATAAATAAAATAAAGGTACTGTGTCCAACTACAACTAAAAAAAAAAATAAAAAGATTAGCCTGCAAGATAACAACTGAATTTATAAATCTAGCCGTTTAGTCAGGTGAAGATTTTTTTCCAAGATTTTATATGGGCCAATCCAGTACTCTTCTTTGGATGATTTTCAAATCTCTTCTTAATTTCACCCTTCCTTGAAAAACGTATTTAATAAAATTTGGCTTCTTTCCTTTCTAAAAGTTTTAACTAGGAGTTATAGTTTGAATATCTATATTGATATTTATTTATTGGCTATCTATATCGATTATATAACTATGATTTTCTAACGTTTATTTTATATTGGTAAAATAATCCTTGACATCTGTAATTTATGAGAAGTATAAACAAATATCAAGCTTTCTTCATTAATTTTAAGGGGAAGCTTTATAAATCTTTTATTTTAATGCAAAGGTTTTAACTTTTTAAATCTTCTTTGAGAAGTTATTTCTTAAAAAAAAAAGAGAGAGATAAGTGTCACTGTAGAATGGGTAGAGACTAGTGATGGGGGGGGGGGAGCAGGGGGATAGGGAGGGCGGCAGAATACAACTGACACTAGGATTGCTGTATGTATACATATGGATGTATAACCAATGTGATCCTGCAATCTGTACATGTGGAAAAATAAGAATTCATACCCTAGTTGAATCAAATGTATGTCAAGATCATTGTATTGTCTTGAGCAACTAATAAAAAAATTAAATGTCCAAAAAATATATAAACTTTAAATAAATTGCTTTAAAGGAAATACAAAAAAAAAAAAGAGAAGTTATTTCTTAGGCAAAAGAAAGGGCTTATTAATTTTACTATATTTATACTTATGTTTGACTATAGAATGTTTTCTTAAGGTTTTCATAAATGCATTTGAGATATATACTGGATTACAGTGGTCTGGTATATTATATATATATAAAAATTAGACCACCTAATTTACCAGAGCCATTATTGTAAGTAATTTGAGAAAATTCTTAACATAGATTGTATAAGCTTAAATTCCAAGATTTTAAAATAGATTAATATAGACTTAAATATTTTCTTTACTAATTTAGAAGTAGTATAAATCTTCAAAAAGTCAAATTATTTCAATTTTATTTTCAAAGCTGTGTAATACCCTACTTTTTGCCTTGAATCTAAACAACTACTACATGAAGAGATCATTGAATGTGGGCCTAATGAGAAGAGTGATAAGTGTACAAGTTCTAATTAGCCATTTACAGTCAGATGATCAGAACTATGTGTATTGAGAAATTCTGTTGCAAGGAGAAACTTGAATTTTTTTTCCAAGAATAAAACATAGAAAGCAGTCATTACATTAGCTAGAAAGTTAATTCAAATATTTTTGTTTGGTTTGTTTGGTTTTGAGGTGCAGAATGGTGGCGAACAACAGATGTTCATACTCGTACAGGAACACCCTTCTTTCCACCAATACTGGGAATTCCACCACTGTTTGCTCCTCCAGCCCAGAATCATGATTCTTCATTCCATTCAAGAACTTCAGGAAAAAGTAATCGAAATGGTCCTGAAAAAGGTACCCATATCAATATAAGTGAAGTGTACTATAAATCTTCCATTCTAATACCTATTTTCAGTAGAGTTCAGATTCAATAACATTCTTATAGCATTGCTCTAGATGATTTTCCATTGTCTTGCTTAATCATTGCAATAATTTTTTGACATTAATTGTCCTCATTTTGCAACCAAGTTTAAACAGTTGTTCAAGAAAGTACTGCTTACATATTGATATAGTTTAGTCAGAATTTGAACCCTTTTCACTACTTTTTCCTCTGTATCCTATTACCTTCCTACATGCATCCAATATAATGTGATACTTCTGCAGTTACGCAATAATTATAGGAAAACTTATATCCTAGTACTCCATTTTCCTCCTAAATGATTTTAGCTGGGCCTGATGGCAGACACCTGTAATCCCAGCAGCTTGGGAGGCTAAGGCAGGAGAATCTCAAGTTTGAGGCCAGCCTTAGCATCTTAGTGAGGCACTAAGCAACTTGGTGAGACCCTGTCTAAAAATAAAAATTTAAGAAAGGGCTGGGGATGTGGCTCAGTAGATAAGTATCCCTGGGTTCAATTGCTAGTATTTGCTAGTATTTCTCCCCCCCCACACACACAAAATTGTATATAAAAGCATTTTAGATGACTTGTTATCAAGTGTTTGGGAAATTTGCTCTAAAATGGAAATATTTACATTTATTTTTTTTCTAAGCATTTTTCAAGTGAAGTAAGATGCATATATTAACCCATTTTAAAAATGAAGAAATCAGTGCTATTTAATGCATTCACCATGTTGTGCAGCTATCATCTCTCTTACCTTATTCCAAACCACTTTATCACTCCAACAGGATATCCCACACATTAAGCATTAAGCATTTGTTCCTTCCTCTCCCCCCAGCCCTGGCAATCGCCAGTTTGAACTGTCTTTTTTCCTTCTGGCATGGTGGTGGGTACTGGGAATTTAAACCCAGATGCAATTTACCACTGAAGTACATCTCCAGTCCTTTTTATTTTTTATTTTGACACAGGTCTCACTAAATTGCTTAGGGCCTCACTAAGTTTATGAGGTTGGCCTTGAACTTGCAGTCCTCCTGTCTCAGCATCCTGAGCAGCAGGGATAACAGGCATGTACCACTGTGACCAGTTGAACTCTATCTTTAGAGATGATATATCTATTGTGAATATTTTATATAGATGGAATCATCTGATATATGACCTTTTGTGTCTGGCTTCTTTCACTAATAATGTTTTTTGTTTATCCACATTTATTTATTCCTTAATATGATTAAATAATATTTAAGTATATAAATATGTTTATTTTTATTTTCAAGGTGTAAATGGGTCAATTAATGGAAACAGTACCTCATCTGTGATTGGTGTCAACACATCTGTACTATCCACTACTGCTTCAAGTTCCATGGGACAGACTAAAAGTACAAGCTCAGGTGGAGGAAATCGAAAATGTAATCAGGAACAAAGCAAAAGCCAGCCTTTGGATTCTAGGGCTGACAAAATCAAAGATAAAGTAAGTTATTCTTTGAAAGAGGTGGGAAATAGACACACACACACACACAGACACACGTGTGTGTGTGTGTGTGTATGTGTACATGTATGTGTGTATGTGTATATATATGTATATGTGTGTGTGTGTGTGTAAAAATAAAATAAGAGGTCAGACCACCAGAATCTATGAATTACCAACTCTTATTTTTGCAGATGTATATTTTTATGGCATAATAATAGTAGTATATATCTTGAAAATTAGAACTCTCAGCACCAGCATAAATAATACAAATAGTAATGGGTTATTATTATTATTATTATTATTATTATTATTTTGGTGCTGAGTGTTGAACTGAGAGCCTCATGTATTCTATACAGGTGCTCTGCCATTGAGCCCACATGCTAAAATTTATTTAGAATTTTCTATGTGCCAGCTCTGCTCCAACCAATTTATATATAATATCTAATTCTATTATACATGGTAAATTCACTTCAACGTTCTGATCACTCCAAGCTTCTGGATTCTCTTTTCCCCATCATGCCAGGAACACTCTAATATCTCAACTTCATGAACTGTAGGTCGCCATTAAGTCTAGGTTTCATTTACCCAAGCTGAGATAATTCCAGCTATATATTCTAAAATATAGCCTATATAATAGCCTATAATCTTTATAGGCTATTAATATCAGTGAATTTGGTCTGCTCTCATTTGTTATTACTTCTATTTTGGTACTAGGGATTGAACCCAGGAGTGCTTTATCACCGAGCTACAACCCAGCCCTTTTTCAAGACAGAGTCTCACTCAGCTGCTGAGGCTGGCCTTGAACTTGGGATCCTCCTGCCTCAGTCTCCTGAGTTGCTGGATTTATAGGTGTACACCACCACACCTAGCCATCTGTAATTTCTTTTTTAATTGAAACATCATGGTTTATTCTGATTTAAATCTTTGGCATCAACTGTAAACATTTTGAAAACAAAGATAATAATTAGAGTTATCTTTTCTACATTTTATGAAAACTGCTTTCAGAGCTTTGAAAGCACTTTTCAGAGCCACTGGAAGGTGGAAGAATCAAAAGTCTGTGAATATATATTGTCTGTGCCATAACATCTAAGGTTTAGGAAGTTTCTGGTTCACCATAGCAAGAATAGCAAGATATGGGTTGCCATTGATTGCAGATGGCATTGTTCTGAACTTTAAATCTGAATAACATGACTCCTAGGCTCTAATTTTTAATCCTAAGAAACTAGTTTATGAATGGGCATGTAGTTCTATGATAGCATGAATGGTTTACTAGCATTCATGAGGTCCTAGATCTAATCTCCAGTACCATGCAAAAACAAAACAAAAGTCCCCAAACAACAACAAAAACCCCAAAGATTTTTTTTCTTTTGCTGAGCATATTTCATTGAGATACTTCCTCTAGATCTTGCAGTTCCCTTTACCAGAAAATAGTTATTTTCCTAAATATAGCATACCCACATGAGGGCTTAGAGGAAAGTCATCTGGGAACTCTCAAAAACATAATAGTACCCCTTCACAAAAGCTCAAAGTGCTATACTTGTGCTCCAAAACAAACATTTTCTTTCCACCTTAAACCACACCACTTTCACTTGAGCAAACCTGATAAAGACTCTTGGTTGTTTCCTCCTAAGGACACATTTCAGGATCTTACTCTCTACCTTTTGCTCTTCAAAACTACTCTTAGTTCTTCTTTTTGATTTGTTTTCAAATGTATTCTCATTAGGGTTAGCAGCAAGGGTCTAACTCTGAGCTGCTGCCACCGTCTCTTCATGTCAGACGTTGACTGAAATGCCACTTATTCTTGATCCCCCATGCTATTTTGAAGCAACTCTCAGACAATATATCATTGGTCATAGTTTTATATGCATTTCTGAAAGTTAAGTGTCCATGCTTTTAAACTTTGAAGTAATCTACCTTTTAGAAAGTAGTATGAAAATCTAATAAGTATGAAGTCTAAAATGTCCCAGGCCTCCACAAGTTCAAGGCATTGCCAAGACTTAGAAGGCAATGAATATAAAAGTCCCTTTCCTAGTTCCAATGAGGAACATATATTAATGTTCCTAAGCTGCATTAGTTCTATTAAACTAAATGCTCTTCCCAAGAAAACTAAATACTATTCCCAAGAGCACATATTAAAACTTAATAGGCCCCTCTTTAATAATATATATAGAGAGATTCTGGGATACCATAATGGTGTCCATATACAGCTAAGCAAAAGTAACATTATGGAAAGATTGGCTGTTAAAGGGAGGCATACTAGAACTTAAGATTTTACATAATCTTAAACACTTTTGGATAATATAAGGTGTGGCATAAATTTGTTGTTTAGATAAAATGGAGATGAAGGACATTGGAACAAAAGAAAAAAACTACCTAGTATTTTTCAGTATTAAAAACTTGATACAGTTTGCTTCATTACTTCAATTGATGTATAGTTTAAAAAAAAATGTTCTTCAGCTAAATTTGATGCCCTATCTGGGGGATGGAGTATTTATCTAAGAGGTTGTTACTGAAAGTCACCGATTAAGTCCAGTTCCCTAATGTAGTCTGCATATGTTTTTAGAATAATGTAAATGTTTTAAATTAAGTAATTAAATTCAGAATAAATTATGCAAACATATATATATAGCCTGTTTAGGAATAAATAAAACAATCCAAGATTGAAGAAGTTCTACTCTTACTCTATACCAATTATTGTCCCATGTAGCCAAAACAGTCTTTTAAAAATATAAGTGATTTTTTTATGGCTTTAGAATATCATATATCAGTGAATATAAAATGGCATAGCTACTGTGGAAAATGATAAAATAGTTCTCAAAAAAAAAAAAACACCTTAAAATTGGATTACCATATTATCCGTCAGTCCCAATTGGGGCTATATACCCCAAATAATTGAAAGTAGGGTCTCAAAGTGATATCTGTACATCTATGTTCATTATTTACAGTAGTTAAAAATGTATTATTATATTTATATGATGTACTTAGAATAGTTAAATCATAGAGACAGAAGTGGAATGGTGATTGCCAGAGACTGGGAGAGATGGAGTGGTAGTATTTAGTTAGTATCAATTTCGGTTTTATAAGATGAAGTGTTCTAAAGATGGATGGTGCTGATGACTACACAACATTAAAAATGTTTTTTATTTAATACTACTGAACTTAAAGTTTAAAATAGTTAAGATTGCAAAGTTTTTTTGTTATGTTTTCTTTACTACAATAAGAAAAGGGGAGAAATCATGTTATCACTTTAGTAGTGTCTATCCCATTTAGGATAAATGCTTTGCCATGATCTATAAGAGCTATATGATCTTGTAGCTCATTCTTCATTACCTCTTAGCACTCTTTCACTGGTTCACTATGCTTTAACCAATCTACCTGAATTTCCATTTTTGACCATGCCAAACATGTTTCCAGCTCATGGCTTTTTCTTTTGCTCTTTCTTCTATCTTGAAAATAATCTTCTCGTATGTCTGTATGATTTCTCTTATGTGCTTGCTTTCCCTTAGGGCTTAGCTCATTAAAGTTCTACCTGATGAATACATTGAATTCATTACCCTACCCCCACCTCCTAGCACACATTATCTATCTATTTCTACTGTTTTATTCATGGAATTTATCACTCCAAACATTTATGTTATTTGTTGATTCCTTTCTTCCTATCTCAATAGACAGAGTTTATGCTCACACCTTGTATCTGCAGAGACTTTGGCAACTATGCCTGGTACATAGTAGCCTTGAATGTGTTTATTTTGTTTTTGAAAGAAAAAAGTATACAGTGAAATGAAAGTTCAAGGAGAAGGTTTTGAGAAGCTGTTCCATATCCCATGAAAGGAAATTAATAATCTCTTCTTTGATCATTTTTTAATGAACCTAAGAAGATTTTTTAAAAAAATGTTTTAAGTGAGAGAAAAGAGAGATACTACCTAATTATGTGTGAATACAACAAACATACATACACACTCACTCATACAGACTCAGAAAATTATATTGGTGATATCCATCCCATTTGTTCCTTTTTTATCTAATATGCGTGCTTGTCTCCTCACTTCACCATTTTTTGGAGGGTATGACTCTTTGCATACCATCAAAGTATGCTTTGGAGAGACCAACTGCATCAGAATCATATTCAATACTTGTGATCCTTGTGCCTTGTTTAGAAGTGGGACCCAGGAATCTGCTAATGTCATCACATTTTGCAAGAGATTCTGCATACCCTAAAACTGGGGAACCAACACCTCTGTACTCATACTTGGGAAATGTAGTCCCATTTCTCATGCCTTTTTTTCTTTTCTTTTTTGGTACTGGGAATTAGGGAATTAAACCCAGGGGAACTTCCAATGGAGCCACATTCCCAGTTCTTTTCATTTTTTACTTTGAGACAGCGTCTTGCTTTACTGAGGGTTTCACTAAGTTGCTGAGACTCGCCTTGAACTTGCCATCCTCCTGCCTCAGCCTACAGAATCACTGAAATGACAGGCATGTGCCACCATGCCAGACTTCTTGTTATCTTTAAATATAAAATTTTACACAGATTATTTGGACTTTAAAATGGTTGGTTTTTCTTTGCTAAATCACTGCAGCTTCTTCATTTCTTTCCTTTCCTACCCACTACCAAACCAAAAGTGATAACTTCAGTTTAGATTTCTTAGGATTTCCATAGACTCACTATATGTGCTTAGAAACCCACATCAGGCCCAGTGTGGTGGTACACAATTATAATCCTGGTGACTTGGGAAGCTGAGGCTGGAGAATTGAAAAGTTAAGGCCAGCCTCAGCAACTTAGCAAGACTCTGTCTCAAAATAGAAAAAATATAAACAACTGGGGATGTCGCTTAGTGGTAGAGTATCTCTGGGTTTCATTCCCAGTACCACAAAAAAGAAAGAAAAAGAGAAAACCTACAACAGATTTTGGTTGCAACATAGGAGCTGTTTCTTTGCCAAATAAGAAGTAGTAGTCTTAATATTAATTGTTATTATTTCCCTTAAATTTCTACCTTGTTTTTTTTCTTGTGTAGAATACTTTATTTTTATTTTTTGAACAAATTTTTTATTTGTGTGGTTTTTTTTTTTTTTTTTTTGCATACACATGACAGTAGTGATTTCTACCTTCTTTATGATTATTCCCATATTATCCCATTTCAGTTTCTCATCCTTCTCTGCTTTATTCTGAGGGAGAAACCCCTCAAGTAATGATAGTGGTCATTACTGTGCATATTGAAGGGTATGTCTATAGACTTCTCCACAGACGTTAAGATCATGAGTTTGGAGCAGTTTACAGAGTGATTGCAAGCAAAATGTAAGAGTAAATCTCCTTGTTCATCTTCATTCTATTTCATTTAACCCAATCTTCAGAAGGCACAAAGGAGAGTAGAAGTTTATAATGTGAAACCTTGGCTTCTTTTGTAGATTTGTATTACTGTCTTCATTACCAACCCCAGTAGTCATGAAGGGCTGTTTCTGTGAAGACCAAAACTTATAATATATTGCTGCTTTTCTGTATTTCCCTTCTTTTAAAAAAATATTTTTATTAGTTGTTGATGGAACTTTGTTAATTAATTAATTAATTAATTTATATGTAGTGCTGAGAATTGAACCCATTGCCTCACACATTCCCAGGCAAGCATTCTACCACTGAGCCACAACGCCATCCTGGTATTTTATTTCTTTATCTTTCAGCAAATGCCATTGAAATGCTCTTAAGTAACTATAGATTGTACTTTTTATCTTGTATCATTTCAACATTTATCCTTTTTAGTCTTCCTATTAGTAGTTTTACCTTTCTGTTGTTATAAACCTAAGTTAGTTGTCATTCACTCATGATTTTTTCTCCTTTTATTCACTACTATTGTCAGTTCTTTAAAGACAAAACTTTCCTTTTATGTGACCTGATATACCTTTCTACCAGCTTTGAATTATTTTTTTACAATAGTCTTTGTGTATGTGTGTTTGTGTCTTGGGGACCGATACCAGCAGTAGTCTAGTACTGAGCTACATCCATAGCCCTTTCTATCTTTTATTTAAGGTCTCACTGAATTGCTGAGGCTGGCCCTGAACTTGTGGTCCTCCTGCCCCAGATTCCCAAATCACTGGGATTAGGACTATATGCCACCCCTTGAACATCCATAATCTTAAATATTCCAGAAATTAATCTCTTCATTTGCCATATTATTCTTTTCTGATATGGAATATAAACAAATTCTTTGATGCTAACAAAAGCAGCCCCATAAGTCTTTACAACCTATTTTATCTACTCTATAGCAGTTATTACTATATGGAATTCTTTTCTTTTATATTAAACATCTGTTTATCCCTCATCCCCTACAACTAGAATGAAAGTTTCTCAAAGGCCAAGGACTCTGTCTTACAGACATTTATATGTAGGTACCTAAAAAGTGTTTTGCACCAGGTGTAGTGGTGCATGCTTGTAATCCCAGTGAATCCAGAGGCTAAGGCAGGAGAATCACAAGTTCAAAGCTAGCCTCAGGAACTTAGTGAGGCCCTTTCTCTCAAAAAAAAAAAGGACTGGGAGGGCTGGGGTTGTGGCTCATCAGTAGAGCTCTCGCCTAGCACGTTCAAGGCCCTGGGTTCGATCCTCAGCACCACATAAAAATAAATAAATGAAATAAAGGTATTGTGTCCAACTACAACTAAAAAATAAATTTTAAATCAATAAAAAATTTATATATGACAGTGGAATGCATTAGAATTCTTATTACACATTTAAGGCACAATTTTTCATATCTCTGGTTGTATATAAAGTATATTCACACCAATTCGTGTCTTTATACATGTACTTTGGATAAACAAATAAAGTAAAGGTATTGTATCCAACTACAACTAAAAAATAAAATATTAAAAAGAAGGCGGGGGGCACTGGGAATGTGGCTCAGTAGTTTAGCACCCATGGGTTCAATCCCCATAACCAAAAAAAAAAAAAAAAAATAAGGTATTTTGTATGTTATAGGAAGAAAAATAAAGCTAAATATATAACTTCAAATATATTATAATTGGAGTAATGAATTTGTTTACTGCTCTTTTTAATGTCATCATTTTGAAGCATAGCAATCAAATGAGTAGATCTGTGTATATGGTATATTGATAACTTTCAATATTCTGTATGTGACTGAGCTTATACTTTCTATTAGTGAGTTCCTGTCAGATAGTTATCAGCTAAACAATTACCCGTATAATATGTGACTTTTTCCTTTTTCCTAAAAGACATTTTCATATTGAAAATATCAATTGAAAATTAAAGAACATATCTTTTACTGAAACTTGAATTTTGTCAAAAATAGTTTTGCCAATTACCTTGTTTTTATCCAGAAACCAAGGAAGAAAACTATAGAAAGTTCTAGCAACAGCGATAGTGATTCAGGCACATCATCTGACACCTCAAGTGAAGGCATTAGTAGCAGTGACTCAGATGATCTAGAAGAAGATGAAGAGGAAGAAGATCAAAGTATTGAAGAAAGTGAAGATGATGATTCTGATTCAGAAAGTGAAGCACAACATAAAAGTAACAACCAGGTATGATTTGTTTCATGGACATATTCATATTTTGGAAATAACTCAATGTATCTTGACTCTCAAAGTCGATAGGTTTTGTTTTTACTCTTCTTTTTCTTTCAAAGTGTATAGTTTTAAAGTAATCACTTGTTTTTCCTGCTTTTACACATAAAAGAATAGGGGACAGAGACTATTTTTAAAGAAACTGTATTTTTATTTTTATTTTTATTTTTTAGTAAAATAAAATAGAATAAAATAAAATGCTTTATTTATTTATTTTTATGTGGTGCTAAGGATTGAGCCCAGGACCTTGCACATTCTAGGCAAGTGCTCTACTACTGAGCCACAACCCTAGCCCTTGGTTTATTTATTTATTATTACTACTACTACTACTACTATTTATTTATTTATTTATTTATTTATTGGAACTGGGAATTGAACTCAGGGGCACTTGACCACTGAGCCACATCCCAGCCCTAATTTGTATTTTATTTAGAGACAGGGTGTCACTGAGTTGCTTAGTGCCTCGCCATTGCTGAGGCTGGCTTTGAACTCGGTATCCTCCTGTCTCAGCCTCCTGAGCCACTGGGATTACAAGTATGCGCCACTGCACCTGGCCCTTAGTTTATTTTTAATGAGGTTTATACTGTATATCTGATGCCAAACGTAGTTAATTTGTTGACTACAGAAATGAAAAACAGTTCAAGTAACAGCAAGGTTTTTATTAGAGCTTCTGAAGCAGGGAGACATGGCACTGACAGGCAGTGACACATGGCAGTGTCAGGATGGCTCCTTTAATGAAGGGAGAAAGTTAAGGTTTATTCAGGCTAAAGGGCTGTTTATAAGTTGGGGAGGGTGGTGGTGAGGTTTAGGAATTGGCTTTAGGTACATTACAAAGGTATGTTTTTCTTTTCCTGTGAGGGCACTTTAACTCTGAAGAAAGTGTGGTCAACAGGATCCTGGAGCCAACATTATTTTTTCATATTAACACCTCATGCTATATAAATATCTCTACCTTGTAATAAAGATGAGTTGCTGTAGCTATTAAGAGAACACATAGCTGAACACAGTAGTACATGCCTGTTCAGGAGGCTGAGGTAGGAGGATTGTGAGTTCAGAGTCAGCCTCAGCAACACAGCAGGGTCCTAAGCAACTTATGGAGACCCTGTGTCAAAATAAAACATAAAAAGGGCTGGGGATGTGGCTCAGTGGTTAAGTGCCCCTGGGTTCAATCACTGGTACATCCCCCACCCAAAAATTTTGTTTAAAAAGAGAACACATAGATGAAACATGAAAGAGTACACAGATCCTAGCAAATAATAAGTTAAGGGACCTGGGAATTTGCTGTTTTGGTGGCTTTTCAACAGCTTTTATTCTTTATGTTGTTTCTCCTGGGAGACTTATGGCAGGAACATCCTGGCTTTAATGATTCACATAGTCTGTGAAGCTGATAAGGTTTTTTAAGGGGAACGGATAAGGCACACACCAAGCTTTTGAAACCTTAGCAAGCTATAAGTGGAAAAAAACCCTTATAGTATCTTTTTTTTTTAAATTGGTTCTTTTTAGTTATACATGACAATAGAGTCCATTTTGATGTAATTATACAAGGATGGAACGTATCTTATTCTAATTAGAACCCCAGTCTTGTGGATGTAACACAGTCGTGAGATATGTCTTTTAATGGCTGTCAGGACATGAGTTAAGGCCCAGGAGTGCATTTGCCCTTTGTCGCTATAGTGGTTTCTGTCTGATATCTATCAGAAGTTACTAGGAACAATTTTTAAAGTAAGTTTTAAATAAAATAAATTTCTCCAAGTTTTATTGCTTGATACTTTTTAAAAATATATATTTATTTATTTTTTATTTCAATTTGTTAATATGCAAAATGCATTACATTTCACATTACACATATAGAACACAATTTTTCATATCTCTGATTGTACACAAGGTATAGTCACACCATTCATGTTTTCATACATGTACTTAGGGTAATGATGTCCATCTGATTCCACCATCTTTTCTACCCCTATGCTCCTCCCTTAACCTCCCACCCCTTTGCCCTATCCAGAGTTCGTTGATACTCTTAATAGATGTTAATAAGTTGTCTTTTTAATTTTATTTCCAGGTGCTATTACATGGTATTTCAGACCCAAAAGCAGATGGACAGAAAGCAACTGAAAAAGCCCAGGAAAAAAGAATACACCAGCCATTACCTCTTGTGTCTGAATCCCAGACTCACTCATCATTCCAATCCCAGCAGAAGCAGCCTCAGGTTTTGTCACAGCAGCTTCCATTTATTTTCCAAAGCTCTCAGGCAAAGGAGGAATCTGTGAACAAACACACCAGTGTAATACAGTCTACGGGATTGGTGTCCAATGTGAAACCTTTATCTTTGGTAAATCAAGCCAAAAAGGAAACTTACATGAAACTTATAGTTCCTTCTCCTGATGTTCTTAAAGCAGGGAATAAAAATACCTCTGAAGAATCTAGTTCTTTGACCAGTGAATTGCGATCTAAACGGGTGAGTTAAAATGATTTTGACAAGATTGTTAGAAAAATACAGAGAATGCACTGGGAGTAGAGCTCAATGGTCGAGTATGCTTAGCATATGCAAAGCCCTGGGTTCAAGTGCCAGCACCAGAAAAGAGCTTTTATTATATACAATATACAAATTGTATATAAATATTAAAATTTTTCATATCCAATTTTAAATTCTCTATTTTTGTACTTTCTGAGACTCTAGGAATAAAATGCATATATCAGAAAATTAAATATTCTGATTTTAAGGTTGGAATATAGCTTAGTGGTGAGTATTTGCGTATGCAATATGATGAGGCCCTGGGTTCGATCCCCAGCACTACAAACTTTCCCCCCCTCTGGTTTTATATTCACATATACATGTATTTAAGATATTTTTTTGGCACATAATCATGTCATTCCACTGTCCCACACTCCATTATGTTTTAGCAGTAAGAGGATAAATATAGTGTTTAAATTTTTTTTTTTAGTTGTAGATGGACACAATAGTTTTTTTTATTGATTTATTTTTATGTGGCATTGAGGATCAAACCTAGTGCCTCACGTTTGGAAGGCAAACACTCTACTATTGAGCTACAACCCCAGAACAAGGATAAATATGTTTGAATGTGATGAGCTTTAGTTACTTTTGTTTAAGATTAATGTCCTTTTTAAAATATCAATGTTATTTTTGAAGGACATGAACTCTTGAGTAATTTATCTCTGTAAATATAGAATTCATAAATTTCAATTGTAAAATTTCTTTATTAAGAATCGTTTCCTAAGACTGATGATGTAGACATACTCAGGAAGCTGGGGTAGAGCATTACTTAAGCCCTAGAGTTCGAGGCCAAGGTCAATCTGGGCAAAAAGAGAAAACCTGTCTCAAAAAATATTTTTTCTTAATGAATTATGTGATACGTAACTTATCCTTACATAAATACCCGAGTCAGTCTTCAGTCTTCATTTTTATCTTTATTTTTTCCTTGCTATTGATTTTATGTTAATACATTCTTCTGTCCCATAGAATTCTAATAATTAAATGATGACTGCTTTATATTCTAGAATCAGCCCAGAATAGAAAAATATTGTTTGAACACAATTTCCTGTCTCTTGGTTACAAATATTAATATTAAGCATCCTAATAATTAGATAACACTTGTAGAACGCTTATTATTTGCCATCTAGTATTTTAAATGCTGAACATGCATTTACTCATTGGATAATAACATTCATGTATGCTACTATAACTGGACATCTCCAATATAGGCCTGAAAAGGAAAAGGCTAGTCTGTAATGCTTGCTACTCCAGAAATATGTGGATTCAAATAGGTAGGAAAATACGTATTATTCGAAACCAGCTTTGAAGGAAGATAGAAGAAAAGTAATATTTCAAAAGTACACATACTTGGAATCTCTAAGTTAAGCAGAACTTTTAAAGCAGAAAAGGCAGTAAAGTGAGACAAAAGGCAGGTTTTGTTAGTCTGTAGTAGTCAGGCCTATGTAGAGTGCAGTTCCATCCTAAGCTTTCTTGGTGCCTGTCAGAGTTTGGGTAGTAGCCCTTTACTTTCTGTGTTACTACTAATAATATCAGTGAAAGCAAATGAGAGAGAATATAAAAAGAAAAATAAATGGAGACAGACCTCAATGGATTAGTGATGTTTTATTAAGCAGTAGAGGGGCACATTTTCAAGAGGGAAAATGGTAACAGGCTGCAACAAGGGTCTGAATTTTATAGGTTTTAGCAGGGCCAGGTCATGGGAGGAGTTGGTCAGTTAATTTGGGCAGTTATTTTTGGTGATCAGGAGGATTTTGGCAGATAAAGGATATTGTAAAGGTCAGATTCCTGAGTTCCCTGTTTCCCTGAGGGTTTTGTAAGTTTCCATTTCCTTCATTCCAGACTCTAAAAGGGGTTTAGTTAGTTAGGGCAACATCATCATATCTGGCTACTTACTGCTGAGAAAGGGGCATCATCAGAATATCTTCTAGAGTCTGAAGGAAGAACATAGCTTTCACATGTTTTTGGATGGCGGTCCTGGAGATGCTGGAGACATATTCTGTTAGAAACCTCTGGATATGGTTAGTGAAACATGGAAGAAGGAAAAGAAATAAGGTAATCAGAAGAATGGGGTCATAATGGGCCAAATCCAGGCCAGGAGTCCGTCCTACTATCCAGGGGAGGAGGAGATGTTTGCTAGGTTAGGGGCTTGTTTCTTTAGCTTTCTTATCTTATCCTTTACTATTCCTGACTTATTAATACAGAAGCAACATTCATCCCCAAGGAAGAGGCAGAGGCCACCTCATCCTGCAGTAAGGAGATACAGGCCCCAACAATTTTGCAGAATGACAGAACCCAGGGAATCCAATTATTTTGTAAACTCAGTACGAAGTTGGCAACCTGTTAGATATCTTCAATAATCTGTACTGACAATTTTTTATAGTAGCGAATAGAGATTCCTAATTGTACTGCTCCTGTGCCAATCCTGCCAGGTACCTCAAGCCCTGTGAGTAAGGGAATAGACTGAAAGGGCTCTCTTATGAGTGGTTTGTACCGTTATCAGAATAGGCAAATTGGTTGTTAGCTAAAAACATCAATTTGAACAGTAAGGAAGACCAAGATACAGAGGCCAGTCCAATTTTTGTTAGGGAGGGGAAATATGAGCCTCACAAAGAAAAATACCTCTGAACTTAGCAGGCAGGGCTGTAGGGCTGACATAAGTGTTATGTTTTAAGTTCTGTTAAAAGAACTATTGTCTTTTCTTTCAAATGTCCAGGTATTGCTGTACTTTGGTTATAACTGTTTTGCTGGGTGTTTAAGCTAGTCAAATTGATCTTGTTCCTATCTGTTGTTAAGAGTCAGCTGAGTTCCCTCAGGGTATCACTCTTGGGAACTTGAGAGCAGCCTCTTAGTTCTTTTTTAGCTATCTGCCAGGATGTGTGAGGGTCTCCTTGACCATTTGGCTTCTCTTGGAAGCGTCAGGGAGGTCTCCTTCTCCAATGAACCCTCCTTTTTGCAGCATGCACACTGGTCAGTTTTCTTTTCTCCAGAATCTCATTTATCTCCCTGATTAGGCGGTCATGGGGCTCAGTGTCACAAAACCCTTAGAGAAGTCCCCTTGTTTCCTGGTTTCAAACTGGCTCAGAAAGGCAAGAGCCAAATATTGACTATTTTATCTTTTTGGACCCTTTTATTTCTTTAACTTTAGGGTCTAAGCTTTGGTCTTAAACATCTAGCAGGCCAGTTTCATCTGTCTTAAAGGAATAATACTGGGTTTTAACTGTGATGTCTATAACTTTTTAGTTATTCACCCCTTCTATTTATTTGGGGTCAGTATTAGTACTGGAAGTTAACCTTAAATCAACCTGTGTGTCCTATCGGTGATGGCCTATTATCTCAAATTAACTTAGACTATTATATTAGAACAGTGAGGCACTAAAAGATAACAGTTAAGGTTTACAAGAAAATACAAAATGAAATTAACAAGAGTAAAATATATTTAATTTGTACAATAGCTATGAACCAAGAAACTTAATTTTATTTTACTTTAAACTTTAGTTTGAAGTATACCAGCTTGGTAGAATGTTCTTATACTTTAAAGACTTATATACCTGGCATGTAGGGCAAAAAGCCAGTAAAAGTCCCATGCTTACACTGATGTTCTTATATTAACCAAGTTTAACTTTCAAAGAAAAGTTCAGAATCTTTAATGTAGTGTAATACTCTAAAATAACAGCTGTTGTTTAACCAGAGTTGTACAAACCCTAATTCCTTTAAGACTAGTTTCTGTTAAGAATAAACTTGACACCAGAAATAATTTTGATAGATAAGAGCAGATCAATGTTTTAAGAAATGTTTGTTACTTCAACTCATAGAGTATTAAACATTGGTTTATATCAGTATATTAATATTTGACCTTAGGGAAAAACCTGAAATAACTTTAACTGATTATGCTCCTTATATATGATCAATTGAGTTACACACAACTTTTTGAAATTTACCCTCCACATACCTTCTGTAAATTACTAAGACATTGTAAAATTTTTTACATTACCACTTTCTCATCCAGAAACATTTCTTTTTTCCTTCCAATTTCATACTAAAACATATTTCCATACCTAGAGCCTTCTTATATCTCTTTTCTAACTGTTGATACCTTTTTAAATTTATATTCTGAAACAATCATTATGAAATTTCTGAATTTGTCCAATTACTCCGATTAACAAGATGAAATACTTTATGCTATTTGCAGTATTTTAATTGAAAACCAATGGAAACTTTTGGGGATATTATACCTGTTAGAACTTTAACTCTTAGTAATCTTGCTTTAATGAAGAACCAGAAACAAAGCAATCTTAAACTCTTTGTTTCATTACCAATTTATAAGTAATACATTTAATATTTAAACATATTACCTTATGGAATTTAGGAAGTCAAGCCTATTTGATTTCATATTTAGCAGTTGATGTTTTACCACATTGACTTTGTAAATTAATTAGGTATCTCCTCTAACAAACACATTTATAATTAATCCCATTGATGTTGAAGTTAAATCTAATTTACTCATTTTTAACTATAAAATCCAAGATATCAGACAAGTATAGTTAACAGTACTATCTGTCTCTTCTTTGTTGAAGAAAAATCCTAGAAACAATTAATATTACATTCTAGACATTTTATAGAAACTATTAATTGTCTGACAACCTAGAAAAACTTATGTTAGTAATTTTAAAGATATTTTTAATCTGTTTACCTAATTTAAATTGAACTTTTTAAGTAATATGAACTAAAATTATTTGGATCCATTTCTCTTTTAAATTTTAATTTATGAGTACTCATTTATTTATATGCCAGTTCTGATATCATGTACATCACATATGGACAAAAGCACATATGTAGACCTAACAACACAATACACTGGTGTGCACACATACATAAAACAGACAGGAAACATGTTTCTTGTAGCTGTTTGTAGGTAGATAGGAAGCACACTACAGATGTTTATT